ACAACAACTGGCTGCTGCTTTATAATCACAATACAACAACTGGCTGCTGCTTTACATTCACAATACAGCAACTGGCTGCTGCTTTACATTATATTACAAAAACAATATTACGTTTGAAGTAAAATACTTTTTAAAAATAAATAAACCTCAAATTTAGTACGAAAAAATGTAAGAGCGTTATTAAAAACATCTCAATGCGCTGTTCTGAAAGAAACCTTTATTTTACCAGTACTGATTTCGACTAGTTTCACTTGAGCACTGATTTGCGGTTGGCGACATTCTAGCTACAAAACGTCCATTCTTAATTAAGTAGTCGCGTGCTTTGTACTCTACCCTTTTATCTATATAGTGGGAGACATATTTCAACAGTGACGTTTTTATTAGTTTCCATCGCCAAAATTCCCGTACTTAAGTCAGAAAAGGTAAAGGTGCGAAGAAATTGAAGAGCATCTTAGAATCTTTTCTGCCTTTTGTTGTGTTCCTTTTTATATCCATGCTTTTTCAGTCGTAACTACCAGCTGGTTTCGCATATTTTCTTGCCTCCAAAGAAACGCCGGGCGTCATTTCTGCTAATTCTCTTCTTCACTTCACTTCGCTCACCCCTTTCCTCACAATATTTTAAAACTCTGTTTCGTAAGTTCTACGCTGACTCGTTAAGTACCTTGGCCTTAGGGAACACGCTCCAGAAGTTGATAGTGTTTTCATTTTTCAATAGGAAATAGGGTATTTATGAACGATTTTATTATTTCAGTTTACTTTTTTTTTTTTCCTAGTTCGGGTCTTTTGAAACTTGTTCCTTTTAAAGGAAATGAATTTGGAAAACCGAGTAAAGGAATTGAAAAGAAAAAAATGTTTTAAAACTGATAGAGCATAAACTTTATTTTAATGTTAAATTGGGGAAGCAATTTTGATAAAGTTTCAATAATTTTTTTCTATTTTCTTTGGAACGTTTGAGTGGGATAAAATAGATGAAAGCAAAAAGATATTTCACGCTAAAATTTTATACATGGTATCATTTTAACCAGAAGGGATACGTTATTATTTTTTTTTAAATAAATCGATGTAAGTAGCTAATATATTCTTTTTTTATTTAAAATAAGTTTAATGACCATGAATTATGTCATATTTACCTTATCTTCAACATTTTAGATTTGGTAGATCTGTAATAACTTTCGCTATCTTTTATTTCGAGTTAAAAAAAGAGCATTAATGAAACTTAATTCTTAAGGTTTTTCAGTATCTTATTTTTTGGAATGAATTTATCATATAGCAACTTTTTTTACCCTTAAAAGGCAAACATTTCAAGACAAAATGTGTAATTTTAAAACAAGCTTTAAATTCAAATTTAATAATTGGAGTTTTAAGTATTAATAGGGTGAATTTTGCCAGCTTATTTAAAAGCAGAACAATTTTGGTTTGTATTCAATTTTAAAAGTGTTTGTATTTAAATTTCATATGCGTATTATCTAATAAGAAATTTTTTTTAATGTTTCTTTTTTGTGTTTTTTTTTGTGCTTAAGAGACAATTAGACGTAAAATAATCTTAACTTTTAATTTAAATTGTAATAATTGCTAATTGATATAATTGTTCATGATAAATTCATTCCAAAAATAATAATAAGCTGAAAAACCTTAAAAATTAAGTTTCCTTAATGTCCATTTTTAACTTACATTAATTTAATTTAAGTTATAATAATTGAAAATAATATTCCAGCATGAATTTAAAGTTAAAAGTCCCTGTTTTGACTATATTTTAATATTATCTAGATCAAATTAATAAGACATGAGACATCATTTTAAAGAAAATATCACATATTATATGCAAATGAGATAAGACGGTATGATAACCAATGATAGCGTTTAATTTAAATTTGCCTAATATGACAAAACCACACAATGAAATTATGTACTTAATAAATAGACAAATCTGATAAATTACTTTGATATAATGGTTTTAAATATTCATCATTATTTATACCAGATTTAATCTTATTTTTAATCTAAGTGAAGATCGCGTGAGCATCATTGTAGTCTGAAAAAAAAATTTAGAATTTATTCAGTAATCTCTTTACAAATATCGTTGATATTCTTTTATTTTTAACTTATTATTATATAATAAATGTAGTAAAAACAATAGTTGAACTCTTTATGAAATAAAGTTGATGTAATACGCAATAGTCTTGAGTTTTCAAACTTGATTCTGTTTTTATCTAAAAACAATTTTTCAGGTTATAAAAAGCTATAATGAGGTTATAAAAGCTATGATGTAGTAGTCAAATATTTTTATTATGTAGTATAGTTAGTAGTTAAATAAATAAAATGAGAATAATTAGTTACTAGTCAATGCCTAAAGAAGGGAATGGTTAGTAGTCAAACATGCAAAAACCTAGTAATTCCTTGTCAAACATGTAAAACGGGAGTAGTTGTACTTAAATGTGTAAAAAAAAAAAGAGAGTAGCTAGTTGTCAAGTGAGTAAAAAGGGAGTAGTTAGTTATCAAACACGTGATAAGTCAAGTGGTAAACACTTAAAAACGTAGAAAAAGGAGTAATTAGATGTCAAACGCGTAAAACGGAAGTAGTTAGTACTCGAATGTGTAAAAAGAAGGAGTAACTAGTTGCCAAGTGGGTAAAAAAAAAGTAGTTAGTCGTTAAACGCGTAAAAAAATCAAGGTTGTTAATACTCAAACATGGAAAAAAGGAATAAATTAGTTGCCAAACACATAAAATAGGAGTAGTTAGTATTCAAATACGTAAAAAAAAAGGAAGTATCTAGCTGTCAAATAAATAAAAAAGGGTGCATTTAGTAGTCAAAAGCGTAATAAGTCAAGTGATAAACTCAAACACTTAAAAAGGCGAGTAATTAATTGTCAAACGCGTAAAACGGGAGTAGTTAGTACTCAAATAAGTAAAAGAGGGAGTAGCTAGTTTTCTAACACTTAAAATGTAGAGTATTTGTAGCTTTTTAGCAATAGAATTTTTAAGGAAAACTACTACAAAAATCAACAAATTTTCATATATAGTAGCAGCTAATATACGTACGTTATACTCTCAAAAACTGTATCGTTCTATTTATAGTTTTTCTAAAAAAAATAGGATAAGTAAAATATATGAAATAAAAAATACAGGTATAATGGGTCTAGTCGTCAATCGATAACAAAAATCTCTAAAATTGAATTTATAAAAAAGACCTAGTAAAATGAATCTAAAAGATTGATGGTTAAAAGCGAATCACATGAAAGAAGTTGTTAACCATGTTAGGCATTTATTTGAAGTATAAAGAAAACACACTCTCGCACTATCTCGTTAAGTGATGGTTGTTCTACAACAAGAATCTGAAGGAGTGCTCTTCCTTTGGCGAAAAAGAACAAAAACACAGTTAAGTAAATGATTTTGAAACGTTTGAAAAGATAAGATGCTGCACACAGAACTTGATAGATTTCAATACCCATAATCGGTATCGTTATGTTATTATTGTTATCAAAACAAAATAAAATTGATACGAGTCATCTGGTATTATATTTTACCTATCTCATAGGGGAACGAGTAAAAATTACATATTATTCAAATATCTTATGTTCTTTCTTAAAAGTGCTTGATTATAACAGCTTCTGATTTGCTTATTCCATGACTTTGATAGTAAATTTTTTTATGCTTTTTTCTTTAGTTTTTTTAGGCTTTGAAAACAAAATTAAAGAAAGGGAACTTTCTTATGTAGAGAATGGAATGATGATTTATTTCCTACTTAAACAAAATATAAATCAATGAAATTCATCACTTTTATTATTATTATAAAACTATTGATATAAATCTTGTGCAATGGAAAATTTTATTGTTAAATTTTATCAAAAAGCAAATTAATTCATAACATTAAGAATGTTTAAAACAAACATTTTATGATAATATAATTAGATTTTTTGCGATATAATCAAAAAAAACTTCGATATGATCAAAATTTGCAATATTTGCAAAACCTGATAACAAAAGAGGAAAAATTGTTCATAACAATTTGTGAACAATTTTCAGAATTTTTTTAATTCAAGATTATTAATTTATCTAAGGCGATGGATTTCATATTAAAAATAAAATTATTATTAAGATAAGATAAAGACATAATTATATAACGAATAATAATAGAAGATAAAAATATAATTATAAGATAAAGAATAATTATAGATATAAAGGAATTTTTAACCAGTAACTTAAGTTATGGCTGTACTTGGTCTATATTTGAAAATTTAATTGAAGTAACTTTTTTTAACGTAGAATTTAAAGCAATAATGATTGTTTCAAATATTAACAACTATAATTTTTTTTGTTTTTAGGAAATTACATATCAAGTTAAAAAAAAAAAAAACAGCAATAATGTTTTACAATTATCTCTGAATGATTTATAGGTTTTTGAATGCCTTTTTGCATAGAAATTAGAGATTTGTTGGTTTCTATTCAGAGTAGCCAGACTCAATAAGATGTTAATTTGAATCATGTTTTCACTTGACTTGAACTATGAAATCGTACAATCAAGCTTAAGAGCTATGAAAATATGATTCAACTAAACGATATAATAAGGTTGTAACAGGTTTAAACCATATTATGGTTTAACGAGCCTAAATGTCCTAACTGTACAGAATAAGATATATAAAGCTTGTTGTCGCTTGTCTGAAATAAATAAAAGAACAAAATAAACTCAAAAAGTTCCAAAAGTATAACTGGGTAATGTATTTTTTCCTCCAGAAACTGTAACAATATCAAAGCAAACGTTTACGAACTAAAGAGCCAATCCCTTGCAAAAACACACTTTGAGATACTCAAATCCTTACATCATAATAACTAGGCGTACCCATAAAACCCATATTCATTACTTATACCCATACACTCGTATAATGACTCCCTCTAACCAAATTACAATCGGAGAAATTACTCAGAAAAAAGTATTTAGATACCCACTCCCTTTTTTATTCTTAATTTTCATTCTTTCTTATTATTTTGTTCTTTTTTTTAGCTGAACTGAAGATGGAACTTTTAAGGGAGAGAGAAGTTCGAGAAGGTATAGAAAAGCAACTGATGGACGAACAGAGGACGAGAAGTAAGTAATATTTTCTTTTTTACTGTTTGGCAACAATGCTTTATATTCTTGACAGTTTACCGCCATTTTAACTGAAATAACGAAGCTTTTTCGGATAATTGGTTATAGCGGCCGCACCTGTGTTGTCGCTTATCATGTAATAATTCGAATCCTGGTTTGAATTGGTATTTTTTGACGAATCGTTGGTGATTTTTGGGTTCGGCTATGACGAAGTGGATTTTTTTTTATTCATGTCTGTTTTATAATGTAGATTGTAATGATCTGTTTATTTTTCTATTTCTACTTCTTATATGGGGAAGATTATAAATTGGGAGATGTATATATATTTTTAACAATTGATAGAACTTAATGAAACTGTTTTGTTTTTCGCTTAATCTTAAGAGATAATTTAAGAGAAAATGCAAGCGACCAGAACACCTTAAACATTATAAACTAAAATAAAATATAGATTTTTTGTATTATTTTGGAAAAGGGAAATGAATAGCTCTCGAAAATTAGGAAATAGAATCTTAATTTAACAAAATATAATAACGTATGTTTCATGCAATAAGAGGATTAACATTTATTAATATTTTTTTTTAAGGAATGAGTTACAAAATTATTATATCTTTTCAACTTGCCATTATTACAGTATCAAATTTTCAAATAATTATATTTTTGTATGGATTGAAAATTGATGGGATTTAGTGTTATAAAATACTATAAAAAATTTTTTTTAAAGAAAAACTTAAGCCAGTTTTTTTACTACCATAAAAGAAATTGATTTTAACTTTTATTTCATTTTATTTAAACTTAAGCAAATGAAATGCACAGTTTCTAGTTATTATAATGTATATGATAAAAAATCTTCCTTTAAAATCCATCTAATTTATATCCTTATACTTTACTTGAATATACCCCTCTTAAAATATATAGTTAAATTGTTTGTTTTTAATAATACTTGTCAAAACTATTATTAGTCATGTTTCACATAGTCCATTAGTGTAGCTTTAATGCGAAAATAACAATGAAAATCATACGTTTTATGAGAAATAGATTAAAAATGGTTTTCAAACTGCGCGCAATTAAAATATATTATTTTACAACAATTTGTAACCCAATAATCATCTTAGTCACATGTCATTCAAAAACAAAATTTTAAATCAAAACATAAAGCAAAACTTTCAATCTATAATTGTAGCATAGTTCGTAAAAGGCTAACAGTGTGATATTTTCGTGGTTTTCCTCTCAATGTAACGCAAATGTAGGTTAGTTCCATCAAAAAGTCCACCACAAAGAAGAGTTCCCATATCTTCTGGATCGGGTTCTAAATTACAAGGCTACGGAGTTGAACATCTAATAATAAACTCAAAATTGGGTCAGCTGTTTAACAACGGCTATAAAATAAGTTATATAACAGCACAATTTTCAAAAACGTCTTATTGTTTTTATGGAAATTGTAGTTTACTCAAATGTTCCCCTTAAAAATTTTCAAAATGTGGTTTATCATTGTATATTACAAAAAAATTTCAGTTTTTCTTTTCTTTTTCATTAGTGATGAATAATCTAAAAACGCAAGTGTTAAAATAACGGGTCTTCAAATTATTGAGAATCACACATTAGTTAATATGGAAAGAATCCCCAATATTACAGATGTTTTCTACGTGACTTACTTTCTAAATCAAGAGAAAAAAAATTGCACCGTTTATCTCTTGACCAATCTAATCGTGCGCCCACGATAAATTGTGGTCGGGGGGATGTAAGCGAAATTCTATGATCTACTACAATTCTAATAACACACTAAACTGAGACGAATGAAACCGAAAAGTTAAAGGCCCCTCCCTGAAATTTGAGTGGTACAAAAAAGCACGCAGCCGCAAGCTTCAGAGGCAGCCGACGCCCTGGTAAATTGCGGGGCGCGTGCGCATTCGAATAAATGACGTTTCCATTTCGAATGTAGGAATAGCGATTGGACATGGAATAAGACAGCCAAATCGCAGGGGCGGATTTCGTTTAGTTTTCTCCGCATCTGCTATTGGAGAAGTGGAGAAAAATCTTTTGAGCGCAGGCTCCATTTCGGAATGCAATTGGAATTGGAGGAATGGAATTGGAATCAAACCAGTCAGAGAATCTAGAACAGTTTCTGTTTCTGCACCACCCACTTTAGAATGAAACAATCGCAAGAACCGAAACCTAGTTTTAGTTTTAAAGAACTTATCGCAATAATTCGGAAATAACGCAGAATTACGGAATATTTTCACTATGAAACCGTGTTTTTATGTCTGTTTGAAAATACTTTACACTCGATTTCTGTTTTTAAAATGATTTTAAATTTCAACTTATGTTAAGTTTGCACACAGCTTCTTTCATATTCAAAATTTTATTCCTGTTCATAAGCACAAACAAACGTGTTTTTTAAAATTAAAAAGCAAGCTAAGAAAACAAACACGCAACTTATATGGGTGTTTTAAGCTAATAGGTGTTTTAAATGTAATCCAGCAACTAATGTGAGTTTTTTGAGCGACTAAGCAGCAAATTCGAGTTTTCAAAGCCAAAAAGCAAGTAATATGAATTTTTAAATCACGCAAGCAACTAATATAAGTTTTTAAAGCAAATCAGAAACCAATAGCAGATTTTTAAAGTTAACAAGCTACTAAGAGAACTTTTTAAAGCAGACATGCTATTTACATGAACATTCAGAGGGAAAAAGCATCTAATGGGAGTGTTTATTGTAATAAAGCAATTTAAATAGGTTTTAAAAGCAAACAAGCACTTAACAGGAGTTTTTAAAACAAAAACAACAAAAAGATAGTTTCACTAATATGAGGTTTTAATTAAATAGTTTTTTTTTAATCCAATTGAAATTTACAGCGTAAATGATTATAATTTCAATGTGCCTATGTTATTAATTCAAATGCGTAAAATTTAACAGATATCGCTAATAAATTTAAGCAATAAAATTAAGCAAAAAGTAAATGGATTACAATAAAGATGATTGCAACTAAAAAAATGTGTTTTTATTTTTTATTTTGCTAAAATTAGTTGGTTTTGAATTTTAATAAATTAGTTTTGAATAAATTGGTTTTTAATTTTTTTGAAGTTGAAAATAGTGCAAAAATATTCGAAATTTATCGGAAATTTTTTTATGAATACGCAACGATTTTCCAAAACGTTTCGAAAAAAGCCTTTGTAATTAATTCTACTCATTCTAGATTTCATAATTTCCTTTCTAATTAAATCTAATTCTACCCATTCTAGATTCCTAATTTTCTATTCATTCTAGAAGTGACGAAATAAATTTTAGAAATTTGGAAGTCATTTTTGCTAAAATAAGGCATTTAATCAGGCTTAATCCATATACTTCTGAAAAGTAATATGAGATTTAATGAAATTACTCATCAGCATTGACTGTATTATTATTCAAGTAGAGTTCGAAAAGCCGTAAAAAATGTAGAGAGAATAACAACGTCTTCGACTTTCATCTTCCGTGGCTAGGTGGCGCTCTGTACCGGAGCGAACTGAAGGCAGAGATATATCCCAAATGAAAGAAAAAATATATATAAAAAATACCTTCTCCCAGATTCTTCGACATCGACCCGATGAGCTAGTACTCTCCGTCAATTTATCAGAAAAAGCTAGGTCGACACTTTTCTGCACTGACGGTCGCATTTGCGCCATAGATATTTGCAAATCGCTTAAACGCCGATCTATCTTTTATAAAGGTACGCAGCCCATATTAGAAAAGAGAAGAAGGCGTTTGGAAGAAGTAGGAAAGAGGGGGGGGGATCTTTTTTTGGCAAAATCTTTTTCCCTTTTCGAATACTTTTTCTCCGTGCTTTTTGCGGATCGGGATTATTTTTTTTAAATAGAATCCTCCATTTTTTTTACACAGTGTTTGGGTAACGTACCCGTTAGTTCTGATATCGGCCGGTGGAAGAAAAAAAAAATATATCATCAATCTTTTGCTGTTTCTTTCTTTCTGTGGTAATCATTTGAGGATGAGTTTCGTTAGAGAAAATGAATGGTTTTTAAGGAGAAAAAAAAATATTTTAGGTAGATTTACTAGTGTTTTAATGTTTCTCATTTATAACTGATGTGTAATTTGAAATTATTTATTTAAAATTCTCAATTCAAATAACTATTTTTATAGTATTTTATAAGTACTGAAATTTTTGATCTACGAATTAGTCTTTTTTAAAATCTGACTTAATTTTTTTTCTTCATCAGGATCGTCCTGCATTTTTTAAGCAATACTTGTGTACTGTACCTGTTAAATTTGATATCGGTGGGGGGAGGGGCAGTATCTATCTTTTGCTGTTTCTTTTTGTGATAATCGTTTGAGGATAACTTTCCTTATAAAAATGAGTGTTTAAAGAAAAGGAATTATTTTAACTGGATTTTTTTAGTGTTCTTATGTTATTTATTCAAATTATTACTCAAATTATTTTTTCAAATAATTTATGAAAACTTAATGATAGCACAATTTTTAATTTTAAAAAAAACTAGTATAACAATATTTTATTGTTATTGAAATTTTTGATTATCGAATTAAAATCAGTTTGAGATCAAAATTATATTTTTTTTCAATTGAATCGGAATTATTTTTTATTGATCATATTTCCCATTTATTTCAGCAAGTTTAATTACTATAGCGATTAAAATTTGATACAAGTTAATGAAAAAAAAAAGCTTTAAAGTTTATAGCTATATAATGTTAAATTTTTTTTAATTGATTGAGCTGGAGTTTTCATCTACTGGAGGAGAGGAGAGTATTTTTTCAGGAGAAAAAATGAATGGTTTTTGAAGAAGAAAAATTTTTTTAGGCCGATTTGCTAGTGCTTTTATGTTCCTCAATTTAATAAAACTATTATAACAGTGTTTTATCAACATTAAAATTTTTATTCTGAATTTTTTAAAGATCAGAATTATTATTTTTCAAGTTGAACTTCCCATTTTTAAGCATTGTTTGGGTACTGTATTCGTTAGCTCTGAAATTAATCAGTGAGAAAAATTAAAATCTT